ATCCTTGAAAGGAATCATAGATTGATTCTTTCCAAAAATAAAGTCAAGATTCCGTTGATCTTCCTTGATTTGTCTTGACATTATTTTCATCCGCTAGGCATATCTTTTCCGTTACTTGAGTGATCAGCGATAGATCCCTTTGATTTCTGGCTTCAACGATCTCTAGTGCAGCACTTTGCAATCTTGTTTCCCTTTGATTTGGGACCTTCCTATAATAGCTTATGTCAATCATCTATCAAATCATTGGTTGATTCTTCTTCCGAATCTCTGCTGCTTCTTCCATTTTCATCTCTAATCATTGATTCTTGTCATTTGCTTTGCTTCTAGAGCTCCCGTTAATAGATTGTTTCCTTAATCTATACTCAAATGATAGGGCTTCTTGATTCCTTTATTTTATCCCTTGTGATCCTGCACCAAATATGATATATTATTTTTTTATCATTGAAACTCATATTTAACAGTTAAGTGTTTAAAAAAAAGGATTCCCTTCTTCTCGTATATGGTTCTCTTCTCCCGCTCGTATTCAATGTTTATATCATATCATATTGATTTTATTATAATTAAATCATAAATTAATATGTGAATGTGTATTAATTAACTTTAATTTAGTGATAAATATATTGAGGACACATATTATATGTATTCATAAAATTAGTGAAAATTACCGAGGAGTGTTCACAAGTTCTCCTTCCACTTTTTGTCTTCTTGCATTCACCTTTATTTTATTTTATTTTTTCTCTTTGTCTTGTCATCTTCTTCGTTAATTAAGTTGCTTCCATTGCATCAGACAACAAGGTAAATTAAAAAATAAATTTTAACTTATATGTACTGCTAATGTTAAGTCCTTTAAACCTATTGTACAGTAATTTGTCTTATTTATATATTATTAATCTCACTTTTTATGAATAATCACTGTAATTATCTTTGAGTTTAACTAATATACACACCGATAGTAATAAAGAAATATTGCATTATCAGGTCATTTGAAAATTATACTAGTAACTTTCTGTAACAAACATGGATTGGTGCAGGGGCGACTTAACAAATCTCGATGCCTAAGGCGAAATCATATTCGGAGGCCCTTAATCCCAGTATAATCTTACTAGTGGGGTCTAGGGAGGGTAGTTTGTACGCAATCCTTATCCCTACCCCCGGAGTAGAGAGGCTGTTTCCGATAGACTCTCAGCTCCCTTCCTCCAAGAACTCCCCACCTTCATCTTGGGGTGACTCGAACTCACAACCTCTTGGTTGGAAGGGGAGGGTGCTCACCACTAGAACAACTCATTCTTGTCAAATAAACTAATTAATGAGGGAAGAAAATTATCATAATTTATAAATTTATTGTATAACATAACCTCAATCAAGTAATAAAAAATATACTGTAATATATTTTTTATTCTAATTATTTATATAAATTATATAATATATAATATTAACAATAATAATAAGAATTTAAAATAAATTTGGGGCCTAAGGCAATGGCCTCACTGCCAAAGCCTTAGAGCCGCCCCTGGATTGGTGACGAAAAATAAAAAAAAATGACTTGCTATAGCAGGTAAAAATGACGTAATTGTATATTAGTTAAACTCATTATATTTTGGATTTAAGTGTATATACATTGAAAATATTAAGTTTTCTTAAAACGTTACCATATATAGTTATCAAACTACTAATTAATATTTATCAAGAGATTTACCTATAATTACCTAAATATACTTTACATTGTCATTGTGTGAAACTTAAACTCTTAATTATTTTTTAAGTGATCTGATATCGTAAATAATTAAAAAATTATTTACGTTGTTAGTATATAAAAGTTAAAAACTCTTAATTAAGAAGGTTTATGCCGTACATGTCAAGGTTCTATGCCTGTCAAAGTCTGCTCCTCACGTTTTTAGGGATGCTAACCCCTTTAATTTAATTTCTTCTTCCTCTTCTCTGGCATATATTACATTGAATACTAGTGAATGAGCCATATGCAGGTCCACTGATTTTAACCAAGAAAAAAGACTTGTTTCTCTCTGTGTGCTTTTGTGTGTGTATCTGAATTGAAAAAGAAGTTTCAAATGGACCTAATTCAGGGTTCTTTTACTAATGCTGCTCTGATTCTATAAACCCAATTTGTACTGTAAGTCCATTTATTATAGAACTACCCATAGGTCATTAAGCAGCAGCTTGATTCATTACTCTTCATTAGCCCGCTACCTCGTTCTCTATCAATTTGTTATGTTTCTCGGACTCTCCGAAAATGTCAGTAAATATGTGTCGAATGAATTTTTGGAGGATTCGACATAGATACGATAATCCTTTTGAAGTCCGCGCTACAGAGTTAGTTTGTCATCTTCGTAGCTAAGGCATGGCACATTATATTGCAGTGGCCTATAGTGGCGGAACCACATGCACCAAAGGTGTGTCAACTGGCACCCCTTCGCCGGAAAATTACACTGTATAGCTCGGTAATATTTTTTGAAATATGTATATATACTATATAATGACACTCATTAACTTCTTGGTAAGTTTATTTCTTTATATTTTTACTCTTAATAAAAATCCTGACTGCGTCATTGATGGCCGAGTTAGAAATTCATCAAAAGAATTTAAACATTTTAAATATTAAATGTTACTACTAAGATTTTGAACCTGTGATCAAAAGTATTTTTTGAAATTCCTTTGCGCTATACTAGAATATTCTCTTACGTCAAAGGAATTCAATAGTTTATACCCAGAATCGGAGTCAGGATTTAAAGTTTATGAGTTCAGGATTATAGTTCGTTTAAGTTAATGGATTCAACATAAAAATTTGAACATATTTAATGGATTTCTTAAGATAAATATATGGTTTAGACCAAAGCTAATGGGTTCGGCCGAACTCGTATCCTACATACTAGCTATGCCCCTGTTTATACCTATGTTGTACGGACTTTTCAAAATGCTGCTACACCCGTATCGAATCTTCCAAATATACACTATATTTGAAGGATCTGACACGCACCCTGCGACATTTTCCAAGAGTCTGAGCAACATAAGTTTATATATACTTCCTCCATTTCAATAGATATGTAGCATGCTTTCTTTTTAAGTCTGCATCAAAAAGATTGTCAGTTTACCCTTAATGAGACTATGAGCCCGTTTAGATTTTCTTAAAAAAAAGTGATTTTTTTAACAAAATAGCTTTTAAGTCAAAAAATAATAAGTTGAGATTGCCCAACTTATTACTTTTGGTTTGTTTTAAGTATTTCTTAACTTATTTTAAGTACTTTTTAACTTTGTCAAACACAAAAAAAAAAAGTTAAAAAAACTTAAAAGCTGATTTGACCTACTTAAAAGTCAATCCAAACATCCTTTATGACTTGTTTTAAACCACAAATTCAATTCTTTATTTTTTTGTTAAACATCATGCTAAGTCAAATCCTGTCACATAAATTAAAATGAAGAGTATATAACCAGAAAAAGGATCATTTTTATTTGATTAGCACAATGCAATTTTTGGTGCGAAAAGAATTTACAGACACATTGTCGTTTCTTATGATGTTTTCTGGAGTTCCATCTTGATCTTAGATAATAAATAGAGAGATACTCAAATTAAAGGCCGTATAAGAAACTAAGTACTGCATACTAAGAAGTAGTAGTAGTAGTAGTACTAGCCTACTAGGGGGTAGTTAATTTGTCAGAAAATGAGAAGAGAGGCGTGAGAGTAGCTCAAGGCAGCTTGTCTGATTTTTTGGCCTTTAGGGGACCATACACTTCCCTTAGATTGTGACCTTTGATAAAAAATTTAATTTTGTTAGACTCCTAATTACATACAATAATCATCCATAGAGTTCGAGTCACCTCAAGAGAAAGGTGGGTAGTTATTGGAGGGAGGGAGTCGAGGGTCTATCGAAAACAACCTCTCTATCCCAAAGTAGGGGTAAGGTCTGCGTACACACTACCCTCCCCATACTCCATTAGTGAGATTATATGGATTGTTGTTGTTGTAGTATTCAAATTTTACTTGAGGTGCATTAGAGAAGTGCAACCAAAATTTCTTTGATTATCTTAACTTCTATACAGAGACAATGTAAAAGAATTTTACACAATTGAAGCAACTACACATAATTGCTTATAATTAATAGATTTGTACATTAATCTAAAAAATAAGTTAAACAACATGGTATAACATATTACGTTACATTAATAGTATAAAATTATTTACATTGTCAGTTTACAAGTTAACTTCTTTTACCACTTGAAAATCTTAGTAATCTACTTGATTGACTACCTAAATTCTCACCTTGTTGGTTCGAGTTTGCTTCTCCACCTTGTAATTTCTTCTCCATTTTTTCTTCTCCCACACCCGATATATAATAATACTCCTTTCGGTCTTTTTTGTTGTCATGGTTACTGAAAATAATTTATCCAAAAAACTTGTCATTTTAGAAATTTAAATTTTCTAATAAATGTTGTGAGAAATTAATATAGTAAAAGCAAGAGTAGTAATAAATTGATATCAAAGAATAAATAAAGATAATTTAATCAAATTATTTGCTTAATTAATTTTTGTAAGGAGCATGCGAAAACCAAGCATAAAAAGTAAAAGGGAGTAAATAAATAAAAAACTTCTTTTACCAGTGTCCTTGTTGAAATTTAACACTAATAAAAACCACAATTAATTAATGCACACTAGATATCTATCTACCCCACCCCTCAAAAACATCCAAACCTAAAGAGGAAGCCCTATTTATGAGTTGCTCCCAAAAGTGAAGCATAGAACTACACACCTTCTTACCCTCCCAATCCATCTCTTTCACATATTGACACAATGCTAAGTGCTGACTGCTAAGTGTAGTAAACTCTCCCTACAACATTTTCTCATTTTTCACTTTGTTTCTTCAAAACAAACCAAGAAAGTTTTCAAAAGGACAAACCCTAAGTAACCCTTTTTATTAAGGTGGTCCAGAGTCTTGAGTAGTACTGGTCCAGTACTAAACAAAGAAAGACTAGTGTCAATATATTAAGGGGTTACAATTTGGTGTTTTCTTGGATCTTTGCCTTGTTTAGAAGGAAAAAGAAGAGTCCAAAAATATGGACTGGAATGGGAATCTTAGATCCTTTGTTTCTCGACCTGCTCCTCCCGATAATTCTTTCAATTTCCTCTACAGCTACAATTATGACCAATATCCAGGTAAAGATATAAGGAAAAAAAGCCTTGTAATTTATTTTCTAATTCTTTTTTCACTTTTTCTTCCTTCACGAGATAGAAGTAAGGTCTGCGTATACATTACCCTCTCCAGTCCACACTTGTGGGATTATACTGGGTTTGTTAGTCTTCATTGATGTTTATTGGGTTTGATGTGATTTCCACATTTATTCTAATCATTTTTCAGTCCCATTTCTTAATATATAGGGTTTTTTTTCATGATTTGATCTTGAAGCATGTTATCTTAATATAGATAATTGCCATTTTATTGTGGTCTTTTAAGGAATTTCTTTTTGGGCCTAGCTCCTGGATAAAGAAGTATTCAAAGAATAGATGAGTGAGCTAAAAAATTTTAAAAACTTGATTACACTAAGTTTAAAATGGCAGAATTATGATTTTCTTTTTCCATTGATGCCTTTAATAATTGCTGACTTTTCTCATTTTCCTAAAGAAAGTATAAAAATAAGTGTTAGTTACAAACTTTGTCAGCCTGATCATTGTCCATTTTATTTCACAACCATTTATTTACATGCTTCCTTGAGCCGAGCGTCTGCCGAAAATAACTTTTCTATCTTCCACGTACATATTACCCTACCTAGACCCCACTTATGGGAATACGAGTATTATGTTGTTGTTGTTGCATATATATATATATTTACATGCTAATATAATCTTTGGTGTTTTCTTCTTCTTCTTTTGTTATTAAAGGTATGGAAATGAAGCATGCAATGCAAACACCACATAGTGGAGTGCTCCCAACAATGGACAAGTTGAACGACAACTTTGCAATGAATCAGTTGGATAAGAAGAAAAGATTGACAAGTGATCAGTTAGAGTCACTTGAAAACAGTTTTCAAGAAGAGATAAAACTTGACCCTGAAAGGAAAATTAAACTAGCTAAAGAACTTGGGTTGCAGCCTCGTCAAATTGCAGTTTGGTTTCAAAATAGGAGAGCTAGATGGAAGTCTAAGCAACTCGAACGCCTATACGATTCTCTTAAACAAGACTATGATTTAGTTTCTAGGGAAAAACAAAAGCTTCAAAATGAGGTCAGTTTTGAGAAATTCTCTCTTCACTTTCTTGCATCCATGCAATTCATGCAAAACTTAAAACTTTTTTATGTTTTTTTTGGTTATCTGGTGAATTGTGCGACCTTTTTATCTAAAATCTTAAAGAAACGGCAGACTAATTACGTGTTCTTTTATGTTTTTTCTTGGGCCGAGTACATAAAGATTCTTTTTGGCAATGGGGTGACAGTGAAATTTGAATTCATGACTTCTGTTTTGGTGTCATAATAAACGGTGGGGTTATCTAAGTTGTGAAAGTGAACAATATATTAATTAAGTACTTAATTATATCTTCAAACACTTCTTATGTCTCATTCTTTGAAAATTATTTTCCTATGTGATTCACCCTAATCCTATACTTTGGTGTTTCTTTGTTATCTTAATCCACATCTAGTTTATGTAGTCACCTTAATTAACTTTCCTTTGATAATGGAAAAAAAGATGGTAACGGAAAACATCGGTTGTTTAAAATATTCAAACTTTACACAAATTATCAATCGAATTTACTATTTATTTTTTCTAGTCAGCATACATATATATACTAATTATATATGATTTTATATATAAATTATATATTTGCATGCTATTTTTTATTTAAGTGATCGAGCGAAAAGCTATTCAATATTTTATTCAATCTTTAAAATATTCTAGACAGTAAGAATGCCCCCAAATTAAAGCTAGAAAGAAATACTAAAATAATGATTGGGGTTTTTTGAATACCTGTCTAATGATAACATAGTCCTGATTTGGCCAAGGCTTCATTACATATCTCATACAGCTTCTAATTAGTTCAAATATGACACTAGAATCCTTGTCTTTTTAAGAAAATAACCTATTTTTATAAAACTTAGAATATACAATAGTTGTTATTTTGAGAAAACCAACTATTTTAGAGTAAGATTTGGAGCCATAACTATGGAGACAACTTCACCTTCAGTTGTCCCTATCATTTTAAAGCAAGGTCGGCTTAATTGAATGAAAATAAATAAATTTAAGTCTCCTTATACCTTGTGTAATAAAATTGAAATTGACCCTTCATACAACATTGTCCCTCTTTTCCTTTCCTTTTCTTTTTGAATTTCCCTTTGAATTTAATTATCCTCTCTCTTGCAGTTAGAATTTTGTCCATATGTCTGTTTTATTTTTTCATTTATTTATATACACGGATAATGCAAAGATTCTTAACATGTTGTAGCAGATAATCTTCTTTATTTTATGACTTTCTAATATAAATTACCTATAATTATCCTTCGGATGATCTGATAGTATAACAAAAAAATTTACACACTAACGCATAGAGTTAAAGCTAGTAGGTAGTCGAGCGTCTTTCTTTTTCATACCTGTTGTATATATATTATTCGCGTAATTTTTTCCTTAGATTTTTATAACTGCTTGTTTTGTGTGCCTCGATTATCTTATTATCTTGTTATTGTTCTTGCTTCTTTTTATGGCTTCTCCACTATTGTATTTCTTTTCATCACTGTTGTTGTTGTGATTATGCTTGTGTTGAGCCGATGTTAGCCTCTTTATCTTTACAATAAAGAGGAATAAGGCTTGCGTACACACGATCCTCTCCAGATCCCACCTGTAAAAATACACTGAGTATGCTGTTGTAACGCATAAAATTAAACTCTTGTTTTTGTGATAGGTGTTGGCATTAAGAGCAATTTTGAAGGAACAAGCTACAAAGAAACAAGTTAATTCCACAGTATACACTGAAATATCAGGTGAAGAGACAGTGGAAAGCACATCAATGCCAAGTTCAAACAAGACAAGAGGAATTAGTACAAGTAACCATCAGAATAATAATATGGCTGAATGTAGCTATGTTTTCAACGTTAATAATGTAGAAGGGTTTAATCCAGTGATGCCACCATATTGGGTTTAATTAGCACTAATAATTAGTGTTTCTTTTTACAGGCACTAACTAATGTTCAATTAGAAGATTGTGAGTAGGGGTAGCTAGTAGCTAGTTGTTATTTGTTCTTTAGTTGAGTTAAGTTGATAACTTTGATGCTATAATTAAGTTTAGTGGTAAGTGGTTCTTTTGATTAGGACTGGACTCTCCTCAGTATTAGTGTAATTGTAAGGTAGTATGTACTCTTATTTGTTGTATTGACATTAATGTCATTAGTTTTAGTATATGATGGCTTATGTTAATGCCATTAGTTATAATACTTTACAGCTTTTGCTCATGCATCTCACGCCTCAATGGAGGTATAAATTAAAGGAAAAACTATATAGTATAATCGATCCAAAAAATAATAGTCGAATAACGGTATATATTTTAAATGTTAATATATAATATACATATAATATATATATTTTATACATATTCATCCTAGTTATTTTACATGAAACCCTAACTTTTTAGGATGCTTCAAAATGCTTTACATTACAAAAATTTTGATTTACAGTTCTGTCATTGTCATTTTTAAATATATAAATTTTATTTTCAAAAAAGAAGTTCATTAACCAATGTGTCAATACACACTAAAAATTAATATCTTGCCCATCGTACTCTGAATCACGTCATTCTCTTTGGAAAGAACAGAGTAATATCTTGCCCATCGTACTCTGAATCACGTCATTCTCTTTGGAAAGAACAGAGCAGAGATAAACATTAGACACTAGTTTGTGGTATTCGGTGATACAATGATGAAATATAACCATCTATATATCTATTATGTCACGACCCGAAATTCCCACCTTCAAATCGTGATGACGGCTAACATTTCACTTGCTAGGCAAGCCAACGTAAGAATAATATTAATCAATTTTTAAATAATTTTTACATTTATTAATAACAAAGAACGATTGTGGAAATAAGTCTGAAATATAGTGAATAATTTATAAAAACAACAGTGTCTAAATATCATCCCAGAATTTGGTGTCACAAGTACACGAGCTTCTAGAATAATACAAATAAGGGCCTGAATAAAATAAAGTTATCTGAAAATAAACACACAGTTAAAGTAAAGTAGACGGGACTTTAGAACTGCGGACGTCTTGTAGTTATACCTCAAGTCTCCTCTGAGTAGCTAAAATTCGAGCAAGTCTATGGTACGCCGCTAGAACCAACTCCAAAATCTGCACAAGAAGTGCATAGTGTAGTATCAGTACAACCGACCCCATGTACTGGTAAGTGCTGAGCCTAACCTCGACGAAGTAGTGACGAGGCTAAGGCGGGTCACTTACATTACCTGTACGCAATATTAGTAACAACAACAATAATAGAAATAAATCAGGTAACTCATTTATAATAATTGAATCCAATTCAGCAGTCATAACCAATTATCATTT